TCCACACAAAGCAAATGAAATGTTATACAATAAAAAATCTTTATCTTTTGTTTCTACTATTTTTTATCATTGTTTTTCTCTTGATGAGGAATTATTTTAACAAGATGTGATTCAAACAAATTGTGTGCAACAATGTAATCCAATTTATTAGGTTGAATGATAAATAATCTGTGCTTTTGTTTATCGACATTATTCTTTCAAAAATAAAGTACAATTACATTTCATTCAGTTATATATTCAGCATTATTTGCAATGATTTGTTTTGCTAATTATCAGGCAGATCTTTGATATCTTTTGAGTAAAGTTCTGCAGGTTTTGATGTGAAAAGATTTTTGATGAAATTTTTCCCATAAAAGCATCAGAAAGGTAATAACCAATTGGTACAAAATGAATATGAAGGCCAATTGAACTACAATATTTTTCTTGTGTTATTCTGGTTGTATGAAGCCTTGTGTTGCAATAGGGGAGAACAACAATTTACTCTGTACACTGCCATTGCCAAGTAAAAAACTGAGATATATTAAGCAACCATGTACAATTGACTGATTAGTTTGTTTCTTTAACGGGACATTTAATACCGAAATTTAATGTTCTTGAGAGCTTTGAAGTAATTTCATAATTTTACTATAAATATATATTATTGGTAATATTTTGATCTAAAAATGTATTGCTGGTATTTTTACTATGATATTTATTTTTATACTTTTGTAATGTTTTTTTTTTCACTATTTGGCCATAGCTGGGATCCTAACAAGTGCTACCTTCTTGGATTTAGAAATAACAGAAATTAAGATGTGGTTCCATGCTTCTCAAAACCTCCAATCTTCCATTTGACTTTTCTTGCCTTCAGTATGGCCTTATGAGTGCTTAAATCTCAAAGCCTTCTTTCTGTGATACAATGACTTATCTAACATAGCAGTGAAATGCAACCAAGTAAACAACAAAGGAAAAAAATTTAATATAAATCATAGTAAAACATGAAAATTGCCTGTCATTCAAAAACACCTAGTATCCCATGACTAGATATGTATGAGATCAATAATTAGGGTAGTATATCCATTATTCCATTTAGTTCCACAAAGCAGAATTTATTCATGACTTAACTTCATAATAGGACATACAGCGATGATCAAACTCACAATTCTAGGGAGTGAGTAATCCACAAGACAAGGTGAAACACATTTTATTTAGCAGCTCCTTCCCAAATATTTTCTCAAAAGGTGTGCGCTTGCTAGGGGTGTGAATTAAAAATTACGTAAAAGAAAATAGCTTTATTTAAAAATGGTCGTGTATTTATATTTCTAAAATGAAAAGACATCACAGTGTACAACTATGTATCATAGTGAACCACATTTTATTTAGCACCTGCAAGACATACTACAATGAGAACAACACGAGAAAACTATCTGAAAATCACTGAAGCCGTCAATATAATGTCATACCTTAAATAAATAGGTTTATATCACAACATATAACACCTACAATATATCATCTACAAACTATATATCTACAAATCATACCTTTATCCTGAAAGTATAAAATTATGTACAAAATATCTGCAGTTGAAGCTATAAAATTGCATGCAAAATATATGTATTTAAATCAGGGTCGGTACAAGGATCTTTTGTTTCTCTGAATCTTTGATACAGGTCCCCCAATCTAATACATCTCAATTTTTATAAAGTAGTATTCATATAAAATACAAATTTTATTGTAACCTAATTATTCTAGGGAGTGAGTAATCCACAAGACAAGGTGGCTATCATTTGCATAAATTAAAATAACGAAATAGTCAGTAAATGTAGAGAGTTATTGAATGAGATGTGTGACATGAATGTAAAAGGAAGTAAAAGGAAAGGACAATTATGAGGATAAGGAGGAGTCACCCTTGATTTGAAGATGTCTAGAGTTACAGGAAATATTCACAAGGAAAAAGCTTAGTGGAACTTCTTTATTACACAGTAATACAGACGAAACATGGTTAATTCTAATCTATGGAGTAGCATGCTGAGAAAAGATCTGAACTGATGGAACTAAAAAGTGGAATGTTTACGATATGATTGAGTAGTGATAGGCTTGTAATGGTTGCACTTGTGGGAAAGAGGCTGCAGTGAAGAAAATAAATCATCTTCTAAAAGACAATGTAAACTATTTTGAACTCCTTCATGACTGGAAAGTAAAGATTGGGCAACTTCAGACCAGACATATCAGCATACTCTTTTTTTTTAATCTAATCTGACTCTTGTAAAGATAAAGCATTGAAGCAGGTTTGGTGCAGTGGGTCTTGTGGGCCCTCACTGAATCTGCATTTCATAAGATAGTATTCATTTGAAATACTAATGTAACTATGTAAACTAATTATGTACAATAATGGATCATATGCAATATAGGTGAACAATTCAACTAGAACTATTGAAAATAAATACAATGTATTTGTTCTCCACATTTATTATTGAAACATGATCAATCCACTATAAGTAGAACGTCTGCTCATGGAACAGGGGGGAAAAAGTGGGTCACAAAGGTGTAGAGCTTTCCAATAATATGCTTGTTGCACTGAACTACTATATTCTTAATCCATATTCTCATCTGATTAAATGTTTTTTCACCTTTTGTCTCCAATGTTTGCCTTACAGTTTTAATAATCAGACACTATAAGTGTTATACAAAGCTTATGACAGTATCTAAATACAAATTAGAGACATGTCATAATAGATCATTCCATCCTAAATAAATCAGTAATGATTTGCAGAAATTTTTAACATCAACTTTAGATTTTTCTTGTTAAAAAATTGAATAATTTAACACATTTAATATGGATAAAAAATAGTGAATTTTATATGGTGTTTTTTTAGACTTAGCATGGTCAAGGACGCATTCCAAAAGTTGGGCAGAGTATTGTGAGACAGGAGGACTTCTTTGGTAACAAAGAAAGGAATACTGAATGTGACATCTGTCCGCCTTTGCAGCAGCGAATGTTGGATGGTTTCCTCAAAAGACACAAGGCGACAGGGATGTGGTTCTACACAAGGATGCTGAGGATACCATGGACTGAGCGTGTGGGCGACAATGTCTTGGAGAGGATGTAAACAAAGAGGAGGCTTATACTTAACATCAGTAAGAGGCAGCTGAAGTTTCTGGGACATGAAATGAGAAAGGAGGGCCTGGAGAATCTGATACTCAGAGGTTGAATAAAGGGAAAGAGAGACAAGGGAAAACAATGCATAACATAGCTGGCAGGCTTAAGCAAGTGGATGGCAGAATGTAGTCTGGGAGAAGTGACAGGGGGACAAAACTTATTGAGAGCTACAATGGATGGGAAAAAGTGGAGGGCCATGATCACCTACATCCTGAAAGTTTGGTTTGTTTTGGTTTGTTTTATGGCATATCAACCTCAATGGGTCATTTAATGCCAACAAAATTTTTATTGCTGGTAATATTTTGTTTTGTCAAAAAACTATTTCTGGTAATATTCTTCCTTCAAAAATGTATAGCTGGTAATATTTATTTTTTAAAAAACATTGTTGGTAATATTTTTCAAAAATGTATTGCTGGTAATAGTTTTTTTTTCTTCAAAAATTTATTGCTGGTAAAAGTATTTCTGGTATTAAAAACTATTTTTACACTTTCATAGTGTTTTGACCCCAGTTTGGGTGTCAACTATTTGCCCATAGATGGGACCCTAACAGGTGCTACCACCCTGGGTCAGGGTGGACCTGGGAACACCAGCAATTAAGAGGTGGTTCCACGCTCCCCAAAACCTCCTGATCAGAGGCCTTGCTGCTGGATGTTAGTTTATCGTCATACCCAGGATGACATCGTGAAATGACACAGTACATAAAAAAAGGAGCAAGACAAATTCACAGATTTGGACAAAAAAGGACCCCAGAATTACGTCAAAATTTGCATAAATTTTTCCTTCTTTAATAGTCAGTTGTGTTTAATTAGGAATGTATATAAATGTAGGTAGAAAAAAATCAAATGTTGATAAGATAGGAAGGTTCACAAAATACTGTCTGGGGCCCCCGATCAGGCTTGAAGTTGGGGTTTTCAGGGTTGTATGCACCAGCCCTGCATTTTCTGGAGCAGTAGAAGAAAATGACCATTATTCTAAAATCTAACATGTGAATTCAATTTTAAAAGTAAAGACTGTGTTTTTCGGTGTTTGAAATATGCAGAAAACTGTTAGAAATGCAATTTGACATTTTATAAGATGCCAAAAGGGGATGTTTCCGTAGATATATTGAGCAGCATTGTCATTAAGTCTTCCAAAATATTGATTCATGTTATAATGGCAAAAAGAAAAGAAACAAAAAATGATAATATTGCCAAAGGTTTTGAAGATTTCTAATTATTTTTTTTCCAAAATTCTTTCCTTTTGTTTACTTTGGAAAATATCTGCAGGTGAAAATGTTTGATAACCTCATTAAATCATGATAAATTTTATCATATTGAAGAAGGACCAAAAAAAAAATACAATATATTCTTGCTTAAGGTTTCTGTGGATATATTTTTGCAATTATTTTTTCTCCTTCTTTCTCTTTGTTTGAAATCAAAAATATCCTAAGGTAATTAGTGTATGACTTTGATAGATTCCATAACACCTTCATTAAAAATTTCCTGAATTTGATTTGAATTATATTAAGTGAAAAGAAAATGATAATAAAAGACTTTGTGAATTCAAAGCATGATTTTATTTCTTGTAAGAGTTTCTAAAATTATATCCTTCAACAGAGAATCAGGTAAGTATTGATATTCAACTTTTTAAATTGTAGTATTTTGAACTGAAATTTTTGACTCAAAATGACCTCAAAGAAGTTTTAAATTATTTTATCTACTAATATTTTATGTACTAGTTTTGGTTTTAAAATTGAAAATCTTGACAAAAAACATTGTATAAGCAACTGGAAATAAATATTTTAATTCATAATAAGAGCAAGCATGTCACCGTAATTCAATAAAATATGTTTTGCAGGTTCTGAATTTTATTCAAATTATAGTGAAAGGAAAGATCATTTCTTTTATTCTATCTATCTATCTATCTATCTATCTATCTATCTATCTATCTGTTTCAGTCTGTTCAGATCTATCTATCTATTCAGATCTATCTATTTCAGTCTGTTCATATCTATCTATCGATCTATCTATCTAACAGTCTATCTATCTATTTTGGGTTCTCTCTTTATCTATCTATCTATCTATCTATCTATCTATCTATCTATCACTGCTTTTGCATCTCTCGGTCTCTTTCATTTACTTTCTCTATATATATCTTTGTATCAATCTATCTGTTTCTGTATATCACCCTCTCTCTTTCACGCACACACATTTCTAGATTGTCAAATTATTTTAAATGTGTCACTTAGTTGACTGATGATATATTCGAGGCCCCTCAATTTTAGAAGGACTTTTCACAATAGTTCAGTCCACTCATCAGGAGGTTTCAGCAATTGACACTTTTCTCATATTTTGACTAAGTTTAATGTAATTAATTTATGCGCTACTTGGGAGTTAAGTTAAATTTTTTTCTTTTTTTGTATGTGTGTACATGCATATGTGTGTGCATGTGCACATATATATATATATATATATATATATATATATATATATATATATATATATATATGAATGAAAAGAGAAGAGGAAAACTATACTTAGTTTTTTGCCAAAGCATCTTGTCATCTGACAGACTTTAACAAGGCAAATGTGATGGTTTTATTTTGCAACAGGTACATATTTGACAGTTACTCAAAATTTTAAATTTAAGAGCACTCATAAATATTCATGAGCTTAACTGAAAAGCTTAGGTTTTAGAACCTAGATTACATCATATAGCATCTTCAAAAGAAAATTTTTAGATTTGAAGATGCTCATAAATATTCAACAGATTAACTGAAATGTTTAGGTATTTAGACCTTAAATTATGTCATGTGGCTTCTTCAAAAATGAATTTTAAAATTTGAAGACACTCATAATTTTTCATCAGGTTAACTGAAATACCTAGGCATTTAGATCTTATATTTTGTCATGTGGCATATTCAAAAAGGAATTTATATGCAGCGTGCGATGGGTAAATTGTGCACATTTTGTTGACTACACAGTATAGTAGTCAAGTGGGCATTATCTGTAAAAAAGAGCACCATGATGCCATTCAGAAACCATTTGCTCCACCAGAAATTTGGAAATGGCATGCTGAATGGCAGTGCAGAGGATTTGGAAAGAGTTGGATGAGTCTAATGGTACAAAAGCTCAGATGAGGACCTCAAACTCAACACGGAAACCTACATCAAGTGCCTTGAGGAGATAGTGCTACCCTGGGTCAAGAGGATGGCTGTTGGAAGAACCTATGTCAGGCAACAAGATTCTGCACCATGCCACACAAGCAGGAGAAGCCAGTCATGGCTGTCAGACAATTTCTGAAACCACATTACCCCTTACATCTGACCAACTAACTCCCCAGACTGCAATCCCCTTGATTATTATATTTGGGGCGCAGTTGAGTGAGAGACCAACAAAACTCCTTCTGACACAAAAGAAGAACTGAAGACAAGGATTATGGGAACTTTTACCAACTTAAACAAGGAGACTATCCTGAAGAATTGCAGGAGATTCTGAAGTCGGCAATTTTGAATAAATTATATTTTTGTGTAATTTTGGTAGATATATCTGCTAAAATGAGATGTCAGTGTTATTTTTAGTTTTGCACAATTTAGATGGCAATTTATCCATTGCACCCTGTCTATATTTCTAAAGTAGTAATGGATTTGTATTTATTAATCCGGGGAATCTTCCAGGAAACTAAAACAAGAAGTATGTGCTTAAAAGAACATTGAATCAAACAACAGCTAAGGGGATACAGGTTTGGATCCTGTCAGAAGGCATATATTTCTTTAATAAGATTTCTTCAATAATAAGGCTGGTATATTTAAATAAATGTACTGTTTAAAAAATAAACAGAACATCTACTCAAATATAGGCATCCAGTAAAAATAACTTTTATAGTTATAAAGTGTGTATATTAAAAAGAAGAGAGAAACTGCAAACATTTTTGGTTGTAATGTGGATTTTTAAAAAAAAATATTATGCTTTATTTTCCATAATTTTGCTACACGCGTTTCCGGTCTCGTGACCATCATCAGGCAAAGCGTGGAGATTTCAACATATTATTAAAACTAATGTGTGTATATATATGAATTTAATGAGAATGAAAATAACATAAATTCTAACGTTCACTGCATTAATTCAGAAAAGGGCTCAATACCAAGAGTAGAGCAATAATTATTTATTGTAATTTTTACAAAACAAATTACTCATGACAAAGATGCATTTTTTTTGATGCACATGCATTATGACTGGTGAGAACCAAAAATCACCAGTAGAGATGCATGCACATCGAAACAAAAATGCATCTTTGTCATGAGTAATTTGTTTTGTCTGTATGTAAAAATTATAATATATATATATATATATATATATATATATATATAGTGATATCGAAGATAGTATAATGCCAAAACTGATGTCAGTCAGTGGGATATTGAGAGAAATGACATTTAAGGCAATCAGTCCTTGCATTAAAGTGCTCAATATCAGAGACAGAGCATTAATAGAATTAATACAAGTAACAGGTTTATCACTTGACTGATTGATGATACCTTCAGCATCCTGACTCCAGAGTTCTGTTTGTCCACTCATCAGGAGGTATCATGTATGAGTTTTTAGAAGTAAGCATATTGTTTATTGCCACATGTTTCATAATAATGTCTTTACACCAAGATATGCTTGGAAATAAATACTTTCATTTATAATAGTATGAACTTGTTATTATTTGTCTATATTTCTGAGATGCGTTATTGTTATATAGGAATAAAGTGTTGCTACCTACACTTGAATTTGAACATAGTTCACCAGTGAGCAATCACAGGTGATCCCATTATTGAATTAAGTAGACCACATGACCATATATGGGAGGTAATGTATGATTAATTGATCACTATTTCTATTCTATCCTCTATTACTATTTGGATCTGTGTCCGATTTCTAGTCTATATTCTATTACAATACAGGCAGCTATTCTCTCCTCTATTCACTTCTACTATTTCTCTTTAAGGATTACTATTTGAGCGAGTATTATTGAGCAAGTACTATTAGTGTGAGTGATATACAAAGACGTCTGACATCAGCATTGTTCAACAGCGTTCTATAGTGGCATTGGCGATTACAAAGTCACTATGGCAACGAGCATTATGAAAGTGACAACAAGTATTCATTGACATCAAAAAAGTTATAATTATTTACATTGTTTGCATTGTTTAGACTGTGGTTGTCATCTTTATTGTCGTGTTCACAGAATTTTGGTCATTGTACACTCCAACCTTCTTCAAGTGACTGGAATTTCAGACCGAACCCTTTATTTACTCTACCGGGGTAGTCTGTTCTAGTTCCAAGTGCCAGTTATCTCCCTTTAACTCAACTATTCAAGTTTTTTGTTCACTACTGCCGTAGCCAGGTATTGAACCCACAACTCTTTGGGTCAAGTCACTGGATTCGATCAACACTTTTACCCAATGGGCCATGTGATGTTGAGTTCAGTTTGAAATGGTAATAACCTGAAGAAGGCTGGCGTGTACAATAGCTGAAATGTTGTGAACATGGCAATAAAGATGGTGGACAATAGCTTGAACAATGTAAATAATATAAATAATGAAATTGTTATTATTTTCAAACAAAACATCGCAAGCACTGCACTCTTATTATTTCTATGGCATTTATTCTGATAAGCTACTTTCCTTAGTCCAACTAGCCCTGACCTTTGCAACTGGGACCCACCAGGCCATATTCACATTCCCTTCATATTCCATTAGTAAGAAGTAAGTTCCAATTAGACTTCTGGCAGGATGTTTTCTCGATCAATACAATCTTGATCTCTTCAAGTCTACGGTAAACAGTTAATCTTTCCTACATAACTTTATGAACTTCACTTCTTGATTTTTCTTACATTCATAAAACACCATACACAAAATACTATCTGTTGGGGCACACCCACCTTCTAACTAGTAATGGACTGGTCCCTCTTATATAAGTCAGCTCTGGAGAGAGTGAGGGGAGCGTCAGAGAGAGAGTCAGCGTGAGCAGTCCAGATAAGCTTACCCGGTACATACCGATGGACTATAGACTTTGGATATTGTTTCGTACTAACCAACCTTCGTTCTATTAATCACTCTATTGTTAATTGCTTTTACAAATATACCAGTATTTTCCTCTACAACTGTGTTTGTCTTAATTCATACACCGACACGCGGGAAACTCACAACATCTCAACACTATCTATCTTGAGTGTCTTCTTGTATTGGGTGAGCTTTAATATACTAAGTTGATTTGAATTTCCTTCTCTGGCCATTCCTACTCAGACCTAACTATGAGAGAAATATTTGAATAATTTTCCTATATTTATGTTAATTATAATTTATGTTAATTATAATTTTAATTATAATTTATGTTAATTATAATAATAAAAATTAATTCAGCAAATTTAATATATTTTCACATTTTTAAATAAGTCAGTATAGTTTTAAGAAAATCTAATTAAACAGATTATTTTGAAATATTAAAAAAATAATGATCTATTTCAGGTTTTATTTCTGTCATCACATTCCTAGCCGGTCAGGATTTACATATGGGGAGCAATGATGGAAATAAACATGAATACAATCAATCATCAAATGACAAGAAAATGGTTTCCGAGTCGGAGGATCAGCACATCCTTCAGGTTAATAAATTAATCCTCTAAAAATAAATATTTAACATTTTTAACCGACAGTTTGCTTTCCAACTAGCAATAAAACACATGCTTCATGGTCCCTTTGCTCCCATCAAGAGTTGGACAAAACCAGGAAGGAAATAGAAATGGATACATGCAGTACCAGTTCACGAAGATGGCTTCAAAGAGATTCCCATACTCATTCACCCATCATCTTCACCAAGCTACGTGACACTTACACTCTTCCTCACCAAGCTATGTGACACTTACACTTTCCTCCTCACTTTATCCCTTGCCTTTTTTTCTCACACATACAAGTAAAGAAATCACATTTCTTTTCATCTTAACAAACAACAATGCACAACACAATCTTCAGGTGCTGACAGATAATTTAAATTTTGATATATATTCTGGATTATCATAATAGTGGTGTAGTTCATATTATTTATGAGGTTTGGTGAAAAAAGATGAGGAAAAAAATGTATATTTATTATTAATATATATATATATATATATATATATATGTGTGTGTGTGTGTGTGTATGTGTGTGTATGTGTGTGTGTGTGTGTGTAAATGCTTATATTTTTGACAAGTGGAAAAAAGCTTCATTGAAACTAGATTTGATTACGTGTTTCACCTTTCTAGGCTTCAGCAGAAAGCATAATCAAATCTAGTTCTAATGAAATCGGATGCAGAGTCTTTGCTGGGCGATCACTATGTAAGATGTTGCCAAAATTAGGTGTAACAGGTTTGGAAAAAACAAGGCTAACATCTGTTTGCACACCCTACCAGGGTTATGGTTTTGTAGCTGTGTATGTTGGTATGTGTGTGAGTGTGTGGATGTTTATATATGCATATGTTTGTGTATATTTAGATAAGTGCAAATGTATAATAAGTACATATGTATGCACAACTGACACAAGGGAAGGGCTAATTTTTGTGGGGAGGGGGTGGATGATTAACTTGAATGGAAATGGGATAAGATTAAGCAGAATCGGATTCATGTGCGCATTTGCATGTGTGACAAATCATTACTTAACACTTCAAGCTGTGCACCTCAGCATGTTCCTTACCAGATTGAAATTGTGGTTGCGTTTGCTTCCCTTTTTTTATGGAAGAACATACATTTCTGGTGAACTGGAATTTGTCAGTGATTCGACTATAAGTTACCAAGAGGAGTTGCAGCGTATGACTGGGAAAACTGTAGTTCATAGATGGTATACAAGTCGATACGTGATCAGTATTGGCTAGGTCACCATGGAGAGGGAGTATGATGTTGAAAAACCCAAATCACCTAATGGACCTTGGCTAGAAACAACAGTGATGATGTGTACCAATGAATATATATATATATATATATATATATATATATATATATATATACACACACACACACACACATATATATATATATATATATACACACACACACATATATATATATATATATATATAATGAAAAAGAAATGTGGTCCGCATGTGCTTCTTATTATATGTCGATTTAATAGGCCAGTTAATAAAATTTGAAAATACCAATATTGTCAATAAAATTGATATTTATTATATCTTAACCTTTTGACGGAACTGAGGCACGAAGGGATAGATTTTAATATTGGAATTTTCAAACATGCCTGTGTTCTTTTTCAATGATTTGAGGAATAAACAAAAGTTCGACTTACTCTTCTTAGGGATGTTTTAGATTAGCTGTCTCCCTGTGGAAATGATATTCTCCGAGTAAACTCAAATCCCTGTTTAATCTGTCAATGTTTGAATCTATTTTGAAAATAAATTTCAACTCCAATCTGCGTCTTTCTTCTTGACTGGTAAATGAAGATGTTAAAATTATACATCTTATGTCACCGATGATATGAAATGGTTGGTTGATGGCTCCACCTGGTTGTCGAGCATGACCATCAACAATTTACCATTGTAAGGTTTTGAATGGATATGGCTCTTTGAGCTTATAAAACTATTAACAGCATAATAAAAATAATATCAAGATGTTGGACAATTGTTGTCTTTATTTTCTTCTGAAATTAAAGCAACTATACAAAGTTTAGAATGGCTCATGATCAAACATAATAGACATTCGTTGTCTGCTATATTTAACATTATATGTTTGAAGATATATATATATATATATATATATATGTAATTAAAACGAAATGTGGTACACATGTGCTTCTTATTATATGTTGATTTAATAGGCCAGTTAATAAAATTTGAAAATACCAATATTGTCAATAAAATTGATATTTATTATATCTTAACCTTTTGACGGAACTGAGGCATGAAGAGATAGATTTTAATATTGGAATTTTCAAACATGCCGTTGTTCTTTTTCAATGATTTGAGGAATAAATAAAAGTTCGACTTACTCTTCTTAGGGATGTTGTAGGTTAGCAGTCTCCCTGTGGAAATTATATTCTTTGAGTAAACCCAAATCCCTGTTTAATCCCTCAATGTTTGAATCTATTTTGAAAATAAGTTTCAACTCCGATCTGCATCTTTCTTCTTGGCTGTGAAATGAAGATGCTAAAAGCATGCATCTGATATCATCAATGCTATGAAATGGTTGGTTGAAGTGTGAAGTGACAGGTAATTTGTTGCTGTTGCCCCTGATGATTTTTTATGGTTACTGAACCAAAGACGGAATTCTGTTCCAGTTCCTCCAACATAATTTCTAAAGAATTAACCAATTAAATTTTAATCCAACTTTTGTATTACTCCAAACATCATTATAGCAGACACTTTTTATTTGAACTAGATGCCTTATTGATAAAAATAGGTTATCTGTTTCAAACAAGATATGACTATAATAAAGTTTGAAGTAATATATATATTTTTTATTACAATGAATTTTATTTTTGTGAAACACATGTAATCAATGAAAAAATCTTTTAGTATTAGGAAACAGTGTCTTATATTATAAGTGAAATCTCTCTCTCTCTCTCTCTCTCTTATATATATATATATATATATATATAAAAGGAAGAGGTCATAGTAGTTCCAATGAGAGAAAAGTGTGTATATTAAAAGGGAGAGAGAAACTGCAAACATTTTTGGTTGCAATGTGGATTTTAAAAAAAAAATATTATGCTTTATTTTCCATAATTTTGCTACACACTTTTCCGGTCTCCCGACCATCATCAGGCAAAGCGTGAAGATTTCCACATATTATTAAAAATAATTAATTTTTTCTGATGTTTTTGATGTTAAAAATTCTTGATATGAGACATTCTTTTTTTTGTGTGTTAGTGACCCAAATGTCTTTCTTGAATATATATAAAACATTATTTTTCAGTGGATACTCATATCTGAGTAAACTCCCCATATATTTATTAAACAGTATATTTATTATTTTCTTCAACCAGTCTGAATATTTGAGAAATCTTATGAAAGGAAGCATTAAGGATTTTCTTCATATTCCAACATTATCATCGTCAAACAGTATATTTAGTCAATACATGTATTTGAGTAGACACCTCTTTTCTTAAGCAGTATAAATACAGGGTGTCCATAAAGTTCGTGTGCACTTTAAAAAATTTATAACTTTATTTGTATTTGCGATAGAAATAATTTGTAAAAATGATTAGAAAGAAGTAAATCTATATATTTTAAGGTTTTATTGAAATTTTATTTAAGTTTCCACATGTCCTCCATCATTAGCAATACAAAGGGTAATACAATTTTACAGTTCACTGAAAACATTTGCCAACTGATTTACAGTAATGCCTGAAATCACATTAGTTATTTTAGCTATACTTAAAACTAGGTACATTAAACTTTATAACATTTTTTATAGATTATTTCTATCACAAATACAAATAAAGTTATAAATTTTTTAAAGTGCACACGAACTTTATGGACACCCTGTATATTTGATGTTCTAGTTTCTATAATGTAAAAATGATTAGAAAGAAGTAAATCTATATAATGTAATACAATTTTGCAGTTCACAGAAAACATTTGCCAACTGATTTACAGTAATGCGTGAAATCACATTAGTTATTTTAGCTATACTTAAAACTAGGTACATTAAACTTTATAATATTTTTTACAGATTATTTGTATCGCAAATACAAATAAAGTTATAAATTTTTTTAAAAGCACACAAACTTATATATATATATATATATATATATATATATATATGTCTGCCAATCTGTTCATTTTGGAGCCTTAAGCAAGAAAATGTACTTTCCAGCATACGACCATATTGTCAATCTTTTATAAAATAAGCACATCTTTTATAGATATATGCACATCTTTTATATATATATGCATATCTATTGCAGAGAATAAAATCCAGCCTGATAAGTGATTCATCCCTGATGCTGCTAGTATCATGGAAAGGAGATGGGTGCTCCCTGTGATCTCATAGATGGCATCACAATAACCACTTTGTTAGTAGATCAACGTAATATGAATGTTTTTAAGGAGAGTAATCTGTTTTTTTGCTTATTCCACAAATATGTGTACATGTCTATCATTTTGTCTATTCACAGTGCAATATCTATCTTTCTGTCTATCTCATTATCTATCTATATCAGTCTGTTCACTATCTTTCTATCTATTTATCTATCTATTTATCTATCTCATTATATCTATCTATCTATTCATCTATCTATCATTATCTATCTATCTATTTATCATCTGTTTCTATCTATCTATCTATCTATCTATCTATATTTATCAGTCTGTTTACTTATTTCTATCTCAATCTGTTCTATATATCTATCTATATTCAATCTGTTCATTATCTATCTATCTATCATTATCTACCATCTATCTATCTATCTATCATTTCTATCTCAATCTGTTCACTATATATCTATCTATGCTTTCCCATTCACTTTTCTCTCTCTGTGCCTGATCTATCTATCTATCTATCTATCTATCTATCTATCTATCTATCTATCTATATTTATCAGTCTGTTTACTATCTATCTATCTATCTATCTATCTATATCAATCTGTTCATTATCTATCTATTTAGCATTAGCTAGCTATCTCAATCTGTTCACTATATATCTATCTATTCCCATTATTCATCATCTATCTATCTATCTATCTATCTATCTATCTATCTCAGTCTGTTCATATCTATCTATCTATTTATTTTAGCTAGCTAGCTATTGCATTCTAGCTATTGCATTCTATTCATCTATCTATCTCATCTATCTATCTATCTATTTATTTCTAGTCTGTTCATATCTATCTATCTATCTATTTCAGT